AGCTATTGTTTACCACACTTTTACTAATCTTATCTTGTACATATATAAATTGATTATAATGTATTCAGTTTAGTTAATGGAAAAATACAGTTACATCATAATCGTTTTATAACAAACTCTCTCTATTATATCTTCTTCCTTCTTCCTTTTTCATGGATCACCACGGTGAATTGATCACCACTAACAAAAATTAAGACTTATGGAGCCCATGTATTAATAAATGTTAGATCAATTACACGGCAATGGTGGAAAACCTGTATTTCATATATCAGCAACTGCATACTTACAAATGAGAGAATTGTGTCTTATATAATAAGCTCACAGTACATGACACATGGCTACATACAAGTGGATAACTTAGTTACACATATTCTAACACTTAGTATTTGAGTTACTTCTAACACATTTACAAAGACATTACATTCATAAGCTCCCTTAACTCTTTAAATCTTTGACTCTTCAACGACTTTGTCAATATGTCTTCCAACTGTAATTCAGTCCTGCAGTGATGAAGCTTGATCCTTCCCTTGCTTACTTGGTCTCTAAGGAAGTGGAACTTGGTGTCAATGTGTTTACTTTTACCGTGTGAAACAGGTTTCTTTGCCAAATCAATTGTTGATTTACTATCAACCAACAGATTCACTGCTCCTTCATTTAACATCTTAAGTTATTTGAACAGTGTTGACAACCATAAGGTCTGACAAGCAGTTGAACAAGTTGCAATATATTCAGCCTCATAGGTGGATAGAGCCACCAGAGGTTGCTTCTTGGAACTCCAAGATATAGGGGAACCTGACAACAGAAATACTAGTCCCATGGTGCTTCTTCTGTCGACCAGATCATCACACTAGTCAGAGTCAGAGTATGCTATAAGATGTAGACTATTATCTCCTTTAGTGTGGTAGGAAAACAAAATACCATGGCTTAATGTTCCCCTCAGATAACTCATAATTCTCTTGGTTGTAGTCAGATGTGGGTGTCTAGGATCACTTATAAACCTACTAACCAAACCTACACTGAACTTTATCTCAGGTCTAATGTGACAAATATACCTTAAGCTGCCAAAAAAATTGCCTGAAAACAGTTCCATCAACATGCATTTCATCCTCATTCTTTATCAGCTTCACAGTTAGCTTAGTTGGTGTTTCAGCTTACTTGCATCCCATCATTTTAAACTTCTTTAGACCTATGACATGTACTTCTTCTTATGCATAAAGATTTCATACTCTGTGTACACAAATTCAAATCCTAAGAAGTAAGATAAAGTACCCAAGTCAGTCATTTCAAACTCACTTTCCAGCTTTCCTTTGATTGATTCTATGGCTTTTAAGTTGTTTCCAGTAATGACTAGGTCATCAACATACAGATACAACATTAGCGACTCATGTTCATTCACCATCTGGACATACACGCCATGCTCTACTAAGCACTTCTAAAAACCAAGATTGGTGAGGAATGAGTTTATCCTTTTTCTCCATGCCCTAGGTGCTTGTTTCAAGCCATAGAGGGCCTTCTCCAACCTTAACACCTTTTGCTCTTCCCCTTTGTATATGAAATCAAGAGGCTGCAGCAAAAATACTTCTTCATCGAATGGCCCATTTAGAAAGGCAGATTTGACATCTAGTTGCCATGATTTCTAGTTTTTCCAGCTAGCTATTGAAACAATAAGTATAACGTTTTCTATCCTTGGTACTGGAGTAAACATCTCAGCATAATACAAACCTTCTTGCTTAATTAATTCCTTGGCCATAAGTCTGGCCTTGTGCTTGGCTATGGATCCAACGGATTCGAGTTTGGTCTTGAACACCCACTTGACAACAATTGGCCTTTTGTTTTGAGGTAGGTTTACCATCTCCCGAGTATTATTCTTTTCAATGCTCTTCAGTTCTTCTTCTATTGCTAGTCTCAACACTTACTTTGAGATTGCTTCTTCAAAGGAAATAGGTTCCATATCAGCCATAAGAGCCATGTGTTGCACCAAATTACCTTCTTCTGAAATATTGCCATCAGAATAAATCTGATAGTCTCCGAGTCTTGGCGAATATGTCTTGTTATTGTAGGTCTGCCTTCAACTCTTGGTGAATCATTATATGCTGCTTCATATTGTATCTCTACTTTAGAGTCAGTATCTTCCCATTTAAGCAGGATGTTGGACCTTGTCTTGTCCTTTGGTTAGAATTCTTCCCATGAATCCGCTTCATCAAAACAAACATCACTGTTGAATGTTTCTTGTTAATTCTCTGGATTGTATAGCTTGTATAAACCAGTTGAGTTGTATCCTACAAAGTTCATCTTCTCACTTTTATCATCTAGTTTCCATCTTTTTTGGTCATGCATGTGTTTGTAGCATATATACCCAAATATCTTAAGATGCTTGACCACGGGTTTACTTCCGGACCAATCTTCTTCTAGAACCATAAAACCAAGTCTCTTTGTTAGACACCAATTTAGCACATATATTATAGTCATAGCTATTTCAGCCCATAAACTGTGAGGGAGATTTTTCCCTTTAAGCATACTTAATCATGTTTAGGATGGTTTTGTTTCTTCTCTCTGCAGTACCATTGTGTTGGGGTGTGTAAGGTGCAGTTACTTCATGCACTTATACCTTGTTCCCTGCATAATTCTTCAAACTCTCCTGATGTAAATTCTCCACCACCATCTGTTATTAGAATCTTAATTTGCTTGCCAGATTTCTTTTCCGCAAGAGGTTTGAACTCTTTGAATGTCTTATATACATCACTGGCTTTGATTAGGTGGATCCATAACTTCCTACTCAAGTCATCAACAAAAGATACAAAGTACATATTCCCTCCTGGTGATAGATTATGAAATGGACCACATACATCAGAGTAGACAACATGCAACACTTCACTAGTTCTAGAGGTGGTGTGATTACTAAAAGAATTTCTAGACTTCTTACTGATTAGGCAGTTATCACAAACTTTCGTAGGGGTTTCAACCAAGGGAAGTCCAGTTACCATTCCCTTTGACCACAGTTTCTTTATATCTCTAAAATTCAAGTGACCTAACCTAAGGTGCCATAACCATGAATCATCTTTTAATACATCAGCGGAAAAACATTGAGATTTTATGGTGCTTAGTCTATTCTTGGCCAATAGAGCTTTCATTAGCAGCCTTACTGCTTATCATGAATTTCCAGAAAATATTTGCCTGATGTAGTTGAAAAACCTTCCTCCAAGTGATGTCCTAGATTGATCAGGTTGGTGGTAATACCAGGAACATACAACTCATTGGCAATTACTGCTTACCTTCCATCTTCTGTTTTGACAATGACATTTCCAGTTACTTCAGCTTGGGTGGCCCTGTTGACATTAAATTTCACCATGCTCTTTTTGTTTGAATCAAAATTGACCAGCCACTCACGATGCCCAATCATGTGATTAGAACATCTTGAGTCTATGTACCACACTTCAGTATTTAGTACCTCTGGATTGGTAATCATCATCAGCATTAGAGATTGTTCTTCAGAATTCGTTCCATCTTTTTCCTTGGCCATATGAGCTATACAATCTCCACTTGATTGACTACCACAATGTTCTTTCTTACTTGATGAAGCAGTGCATTCTCTTAAGAAGTGTCCAATTGATTGCAGTTGAAGCATTTGAGTCTCTTTCTATTAACTCTCTTCTTTCCGCGCCAGTTTGTTGAACCTCCTCTTCTATTTGAATTTTCTAAGAAATCTTGCTCTTTTATTCTTGTTCTTGATTTTGAGAGCTTCTCCCAGACGCGCTTCCGGAATCTCTTCCATGACCCCTACTTCTCAAACCTGCTTTAGGGTTGAATTCTCCTTTCCATGATTCTTTGTTTGTGTGCTGCGAGAGAGCCTTGTAGCTCTTCTATTTTCATTTCATCAAGCTTCTTCGCTTCTTCGATTGCTACCACAATATGGTCGAATTCGGGGGTTACGGTTTGCAAGATTTTCTCAATAATCATTTGATATGTGATTGTTTCGCCGCCATTCTTCATCGCATTCGTGTGAGTGGTAATTTTGTGGAATAAATCAGCAATCTTTTCATTGCTTTCTATTTGCATCAATTCGTATTGACACCTCATCGTTTGTTGTCACACTTTCTTTAGCTTCTCCGCTCATTTGTTGCAGGTCTCTAGAATCTTCCACACTTCTTGCAAAGTTGTAGCACCTGCAATCTTTTCAGAGTGTGCTTCATCAATACACTGATGAATAAAAAAATTTGCTTTACAATCTTTCTTCTTGTTTTCTTTGTGAAGCGTCCTCTGTGCATCTGTGGGATCGTTGGGAAGTGTTGGATTACCATCTTCGACAATTTTTGTGACTTCTAGGTAACCCATAATCGCTTTCATCTTCACCCGCCATCAATCCCAATCCTTTCCATTGAGAACTAGGAGATTCGTTGAGAAGTTTGCGCCAATTTGCACCATTGTATGTGTATGGCAGGGCCGCTATTGAATCGAGCAATTACAAAGTAGTGGAAAACCTTTATTTCATATATCAGCAACTGCATACTTACAAATGAGAGAATTCTGACTTATATAAGCTCACAGTACATGACACAGACTGATCACAAATTCTATTTTGTTAGTCTTTTGCCTCAATAATGCTCGTATTCTTTCTTTTCTTTTTTTTGAAAATTCAATATGACAGAAAATATAGTAAAAGTTCCTAAAACAAAATTAATTATAATAACTTATTTTAAAAATCAAGTTTAAAGGAACGGTCGATATATATATATATATATATATATATATATATGTGTGTGTGTGTGTGTGTGAACTGTACACTAACTAGTTTAGATAAATAGTCAGTCTCATTAAACATTCAAGAACACTTCATGAATTGAAATTGAAAAGCAGGTAAATAAATGGACATTAAAAAGGAATAAGCAATAGGAGCAAAAACTTATGGACAATTCTATTTCAAACTAATCAATTAGAGAGAATAAGAAAAACATTCCAAAAAAAAATATACATACAAAGCTAAGGTGTATTAGTTATAACATTTATAACTCATCATGAGTTTTTCTCTCAACACCATGTAAATCTTGCTGATGTTTTAGAAGATAACTAGCAGCTAATGATGCATGAAGTGCAGCTCCATAAGAGAGTCCATCTTCATTGATTTCAAGATAAGGCGAGTGTAATACTGACTCAAATTGTTTATGTGAGGCATTCCGCACTCCAAGCATGAAAAAGTAACCAGGTATGACCTCTTGATAGAATGAAAAATCTTCCGCTCCCATGAATGGCGTCATGGCACTATCAACCTTATCGACACCAAGCATATTCACTGCAACATTCACGAAATGCTCGTGCAGGTCCTCATTGTTTACAGTTGGAGGATTGAAAGGTTCCCAATCTTCAAGGAAGTCCACAGTTGCATTGCACCTATGCACGGCAGCTTGTCCAATTATAACCTGCATAAATGAATCAGTGAAAACTACAGTATACATTGCAATCAATGTTTCTGTTGCAGTTGAAACACGTGAGTCCTGAGCTTAAGTAGAGTGGGAAAGATGCAGAAGGCTTGAGCTTCCATTACAAACCTGCTCAATCCGCTGTCTCAGCTGGTTGAAGCTTTGGTTAGAAAAGGCTCGGAAGGTACCACCAATTGTGACATAATCTGGAATAACATTGAATGCACTACCTCCTTGGAACTTCGCAATCGTCACTACCTGTGAGAACATGTATTATGTAAGAAAGACAAGAGGATTATACCACTTTCAGCAAGCATGCCTTTCAACAGTGATGAAAACATCTTTTACCTTATATAAAAATCATTCGACTTTATTTTATCTTTGGTTATAGAAATAGCTTATACATAAAAACTCATGCTATAAGCGTTTAGTTAAATTATGTATCCGAACCAGGCCTAAGAATGAAATAAGTGGATAATAGTAAGGGAAAATGAAGAATTGACAATAGTTACTTGGGAGTCTAGAGGATCAGCCTCGTGAGAAACAATGTGTTGTAAGCTAATGATCACATTGGAAGCTGCCAATATGGGGTCTATAGACTGTTGAGGTATAGCTGCATGACCTCCTTTTCCACTTATTTTTGCTTCAAAGAAGCCACTTCCTGCCATTATTGGACCAGCCCTAGAGGCCACTTCACCTATTGGTAATTCGGGATCAATATGTAATCCAAAGATAGCCGTAACGTTTTCTAATGCTCCTTGGTCTAAAATTTTCTTAGCCCCTCCACCTCCTTCCTCTGCTGGTTGGAAAACAAGAACAACAGTTCCCTTGTTTAGACAACAATAATGAATTTATCAGTTATCCGTGAGAGGATGAAGACAAGAATAATGTTTAAACTTGAAATACATTAAGGAAACCAAAATAAAGAAGCCAAGAAGACATATTAAAGATCTCACTTGTATCTTTTTTTCATGCTGTTTGAGAATCTTTGCTGCACCAAGTAGCATGCTAACATGAGCATCATGACCACACGCATGCATCTTTCCAGGTACTCTACTCTTGTGCTCCCACTCGACCATTTCCTTAACTCCATATTGAAATTAAAACTTAGAACAATCACATTAAGAATGAGTTAATTAGCAAGAATGAAAAATGAAGTTAACCTGCATGGGAAGAGCATCCATATCAGCTCTTAAAGCAACAAAAGGAGAGAATCCAGTTCCAACGAAAGCAACAACACCAGTGATTGCAACTGGATGTTTATAAGGGATACCCAATTTATGCAATTCTGATCTTATCACTTCACTTGTTTCGAATTCTTGATAACCCAATTCTGGATTCTCATGAATCTTCCTTCTGATACTTACCATCCAATTGAAAACCTCAGGAGTCTTGGCACTGTCTAGAAAGTTGTTGAATGAGGAATTATCTGGTGATGATAAAATGGGTGTTGCAGCCAAGATATGTAATATGAATATGATGTTGAATTTGAAGGAACAAGACATGGTTGCTTTGGTGCGTGAGGAGTGTGTGTGTGTGTGTGATGAAGATTGATTGAAGAGTAATAGTAAATGTTGTTTTGGTGTTTTCTATCAACTCTATTAAAGTGTAATCATGATAAATAATATTTATTTTCTTTGTCAAAAATATTTATTTTAATTTTTGTGTTTTAAAATAATTATTGTTTTAATAAAAAAAATATATTTCAAAATAATTGTCATTTTTCATTTTTCAATATAGAAATCATTGTTATTTTTTCAATTGTGCCCTTTAATTATTATTTTTATATTTCTTCCAACACATTAATAAGGTTAATTTGGTAAAAGTTGAATATTTTATAAGAACATCATTGCATTTCTTAATAAATGTGTAAAAACCTTAAACGATAATCATTTTGAAACGAAAGGAGTAAATTTTAAGTTATTTTACAATCTCAATACATAATTAATGATTTTTGCCTAATATACCATCTACTATTTATTTCATTTTATTCTTTCAATTCTTTTAATTTTGATTTTCAATGTAATTATTCAATGACATTTTTATAAAGTCATATATCATTTCACTTTTTCGTAAAGTAATAATTATATTTCTTAATTCTTGTGAAATAACCAAAACGTTTTATAATTTAGGACGAAAGAAGTACTATTAATGGAGAAAATATCATCAAAGTCCCACATTGATAATCATAAACACAAAAGGCATTAAAATACAACAAAAGAACAACAAACAACAAACAAAAATACCAACACTACAAATTAATGACAATGGATCCTCTCAAATTTTTTCCATTCTGCTCCCTGATAAGTGCAAATTGTAGTTATTTTTTTATATACTTTTTGTTGTACTTATCGACTTTTTGTTGTTAATATCATTGAATAACTCTGACTTTTGTGTAAATATGTTTAGTTTGTATTTTTGTGTACATAGTATACTGTTTGATATTTTTCCATTCATTTTGTAGGTATTTGTTACATTTTGGAGCATTGAGGAATAAGGTGTCGAAGGCACGGCTCCGGATGCGCGTTTTCGGAATAAAATATCAGTTTTGGGACTTTCTGTCCAAGAGAGCCCGCTTAGCGCATAGAGGCCGCTAAGCGCGAGTGGCGCTCAGCGCATTTTGTAGCGCACTGCTTGCGTTTGACAATTTAGCAGAACCAAGGTTTTGAATCCCGCTTAGCACGGATAGCGCGGTTCAGGTCGGTTTAGTATGTAAATATCGTGCAGTCCGCTTAGCGCGCTGAGGCCGCTTAGCGCGGTCTGCTGAGATTTGTTTTATAATTTCATTTTCAATCATTTTTAAGTTATGGTTTTGGGGAATTTTTTGCTCTCAACTCCATCAACCTGTAAATTTTGTCAAGATTAGCTTAGATAACAACTATGGAGCTTGCATACGGATGATCCGATGTGGATTGCTCTTCGATCGACACTGACAAACTGATAGATTTGAGGTTCATTTCTCTTCTTCTTTGTATAATCTCTATTGGTTGGGTTTGTATGTATATTTTCTTTGATCTGATGTATATTTGTCGCCCTTGGCGTTATATAAAACTTGCTTTACGAAATTTTGTGGATTGTTGTCTTGGATTTTTACTGTGTTAGAGATTTGAGTTGTTATAGACATATATTACTTAGATTCTTATCTGAGATGATTATCTATTAGTTTCTGAACTCTAGAGATAGATTTAGAGCTGACATTTACTTGGGTATCAGAGCTTAATGCCTCTGTGTTGCTTGTGTCACTCTGAGAGATTGTCGATACAGGCGAGCATGGTTGAATTATGTGTTGTTGAGGTGGTTGAGAGATCATTATCGAGGCGATGCAGACGGCCTCTCAATTTTGGTTAGAAATAACTTAGGTTGTGAGTGATACGTAGTGACATTGATGAATATTGTAGGTTGAGTATAACAGGTCGATAGGTTTAAGTCTGTGAGAAGTAGTATATATGCATACTTGATAAGTTATTCCTTTTTCCTTTTTTATACATTTATTTTCTGTTAATACTTTTTCTTTCAACCCATTCAACCCCCAAACCCATTAACGATAGATTTGTCGAACGGAGAATCAATAACCAATCTTTATGGACACTATACGATATAACCTAAATGTCACCAGGTAAAAATAATATTTTACTTTTTGCTTGCCGCTCTACAGTAGCAGCAAAATAGCGTTGTTGTCGGGGATTGGTTCTATTGTTTTTGCATTGCGATAATTCTTTTGTTTTTTAGTTTTGTAATTAATGTATATGTTGTATAGAAGTTGTACATTAATTTGTATATGATACTTGTGCATATATGTGTTTTTCTTTGTTTTCACGTATTGTTGTAAATTGTCTCGTTTTCGTAATGTTTGTTGTGTGAATGTTAGGATACTTTCTTTTGGTTTGTGCAGTGTAAAAATACCATGGCATGATGAGAGGAGGTTACTAGCTCGCACAATAAAGGCGTCAAGCTTACGACGTAAAACAAATATGTTTTGTTTGTATTCGTTTTTGTTATATGTGACTTGTGTTTTAACAAGTTGAAATTGGACTTGTTTTAAATTTTCAAGTATTCACTTTTCAACTTGTTAATTCACTTTCAATCCTTTGTTTCGTTATGTAGATTTGTGTTTTTCCGCAAACTTGTCGTGTTTAGCTTGAGAAAGTTTATATGTTGTAAATATTCTATGCATTAAGGTTGTGTAGGTGATTCTGAAGCTGCATAGCAGCTGCACCAGTTAATGTCCTGTTTTTTCTGCAACTGGTGTAGAGCGCTAAACGCGCGTTATGCCATTTAGCGCGCTCTGTTGTGCAGAACCAGTGAACTCTTTTTAATTTTTCGCTTGGTTTTATTTTTTCCCACTTCCACCTAGGCTTTAAATAGTAAATAATGTTAGTATAATTAATTCTTTTGTTGTTGTTTGGACTCAAATTTTGGTTTGATAGCTTAGAGTCGCTTTTGGTGATTTTCCAAGTTTGAGTGTTTCAACTTGCGAATGCATGGTAATGATTTTGTTACAGTTTTATACACGTTTGAGGTATGTGTTTATCGCTTTCTATACTTTAGCATATTCATGATACTTAGACTTTTTACAATTTTTATGCCATTTATTCTTTTGTATACTTGTTCATTTGTTAATCATTTTAGTTCTTACCCCGTTTTGTGAGGTAGATTTCCATTGTTCACATATGCTGGAGACTATAATTCTTGTTTTAACTGGATTTTATTATGTTTAATATTTTGTTTGTGTTGATTGTATGAAATCATGAAAATGATCAAGGAATTTTTTGTTTTATTTTGAGCATAACTACCTTGGCCAAATAGTCAATTCACCTTGTAAGTGTGTGATCATTAGTAACCCCTTTGAGCTTTTTGTCAATATCCATGTTGTTTTTGCTAAATACTTGTCTATGAATGTTTAGTTTCCCTTTTTTCATGGATGTTGATTCGTTATTTTCTTGAACCCTCAACCATTGTTTTGGTTTGAATTTTTACCTTACCTTAAAAAGTATGGAGTATTCACTTTAATGTATGGTTGAATTAAAGTTGGTGAAAAATGATTGTGTATTTATTGGTTGATTGCTATGAGGTTGAGAAAAAGAAAGAAAAAGAGAGGAAAAAACAGGGGGGGAAAAGAGAAAAATAAAGAAGAGAAAAAGAAAGAAAAAAATTGAAAAAAGTTTTGAAAAACAAAAGCAAAAAGAGTATGAAATAATATTGTATTAATAAGTGATGTGTGTTGGTGTGAAACTTGTGGTAAAGAAGAAGTTTGATTGAAATTCTATTGTTTGAAACTTTGGGGAAGTGATGACTCCCTTAGGTTTAGGCAAGTTTTTGTTTCGATTAACTTTAGGATTTATCCCTTGTTTGTTCATCCGACCATGCTACAATCTTGAAAAGTCCTTGAGATTCATGCTTTTATATTTTCAATGTAAATTTTTGGATGAATGCATAATTTAGTCTATTGTTTGCAAGATTGTTGGATGAGTGAAAATACCCCATTTTTGTATGTTTTTCATCTACCGATGATTACGTTTGCTAGGTGTGATTCATTTGCGAACTAGTGTTGTTTTAGAATGTTTGACATAATTTTTGTATTTAGCATTTGTTTCATGTTTATGTTATCGTCGTAGTTTAGTAGTAAGTATGTTTCTTCATGTATACCATTTTTCATTTAAGCCATTGCATTTGTTTTCCGTTTTCAAAACTTGCTTATTCATAATTCTTTGGTTTATTACTTTTGGTTCTTTGAGTTGTTTGGCCTTGTTTGAGGACAAACAAGTTCAAGTTGGGGAGAGTTTGATAAGTTCATATTATAGTTATTTTTTTATATACTTTTTGTTGCACTTATCAATTTTTTGTTGTTAATATCGTTGAATAACCCCGAGTTTTGTGTAAATACGTTTAGTTTGTGTTTATTTGTGTTTTGTATACATAGTGTACCGTTTGATTTTTTTCCATTCATTTTGTAGGTATTTGTTGCATTTTGAAGCATTAAGGAATAAGGCATCGAAGGCACGGCTCTGGATGCATGTTTTCAGAATAAAAGATAAGTTTTGGGACATTTTGTCTAGGAGAGCCCGCTTAGCGCGCAGAGACGGCTAAGCGCGAGTGGCGCTCAACGCATTTTGTAGCGCGCTGCTTGCGTTTGACAATTTGGAAGAACCAATCTTTTGAAGCCCGTTTAGCACGGATAGCGCGCTTAGCACGATTTAGGTCGGTTTAGTGTGTAAATATTACGCAGCCCGCTTAGCGCGTTGAGGCCACTTAGCGCGATCTGTTGAGATTTGTTTTATAACTTCATTTTTAGTCATTTTCAGGTTATGGTTTTGGGGAAGTTTTTGCTTCCAACTCCATCAGCCTGTAAATTTTGTTAGGATTATCTTAGATAACAACTATGGAGCTTGCATACGGATGATCCTGGGTGGATTGCTCTTTGATCGGCACTGACAAACTGGTAGATCTGCGGTTCATTTCTCTTCCTCTTTGTGTAACCTCTATTGGTTGGGTTTGTATGTATATT